AGAAAAGCATTCGCCTCCTTTTGAGTATGATTTTCTTATTCAAACCCTATTTTTCCACTAACGATCATTTTATCCTAGGAAGAAAGCACATAGTTTGAAAGGTTATTACATGAAAAAGTTTTTGTTAGTTAGATAGCCCAGTTTTTTTTTAACGAGGGTTCGCAACAGCAGAAGTCATATGGCGCCGTTGTTTTTGAAAAATGGCCCATTTGTAAGTATGTCGGGTTCGAATCCAGGGCCGCTGGATTCGAACTCGGGACCTTTACCTCACAGTGATAAGCGGCGTGTCAACGCTCAAACCGTTGCGGCCACCGACGACGCCCCAATAATCCATAGTTGACAATTGTTCAGATTTAAATGCAGATTAAAACTCTAGCTGAAAAACTGATTGTTTCATGATACATACAAGAAATGCTTAAAAGAATCATTTCAAAAACTTATTTATCACTATATAATGGGAAATTACCCTTCTTTCTAATGGTGCTATCACATTTGCTATACCTTAAAGAGCTAATAAATTATGACGGTTTAAACCTAAAAAACAGCGTTTTGGAGAAAAGAAATTCATTTATAAATATCTCCGAAACAATTAAGAATTTTTAAAAAACGCGTTTCGCGCATAGTTTGTGAATCCCTCCAACTTCATCATTTCTATTAAATTAACCTAGTGAGCATGTCAGGACCTTTTGAAAAGGCCACACTCCGATGTTGCGCCGTATTTCCTCGGTTGGTCTCAAAATATCTTTTTTGAAAGATTTGTTCGTGTTTTTTCTAATCCAAGTTCAATAATAAGTCCAAGTGTCCACTTAATCGATAAGATTCTGTTATCGTTCAGGAATTCAATGAAGAACTTCCGTTTAACAATTAAAACATTACTTCCAGGATCCAATGGACAAGCAATTTTTTGTTTGAATAATTATTTTCCACGCATAACCTCAAAAATTAAATGTTAAAAGTGATTATGGAGGTTGTGCAGGTCATCAAGGTTCAAAAGACACAGAATTTACTTAAGTTTTATTCAATTTGCGATATATTAAGAATTATTTTATATAGGGCACTCGTTTATCTAAGTCCCTCCTGTATTATTTATCTTTTCCAGGCTGTATAAATTTCTAATAAAATTGTGCATATAATGAAACCTCATTCATCAAAATCTTCAGTAGTGGAAGCTGCATATTTTTATTATATGTACAAATATTAAAAAAAAAAAAAAATACAAAAGGAACAATTTTTTTTAAATGTTCGGCTTTTCTCACCTCAAAAATGACGAATCTTATTCGTGAATTAAGAATTACAAAACCTGAAACGTTCTCGAAATTTAATCTTATTTCACCTTTCAACCCTTGTACAACCGCCAGGACCGCTTTACGGCCAAACGGATCATCTTGATACTTTAAAACATCTCAGAAATATGAAGAATATAAACTTTCCACCGTTCAAAAAGCCGGTTGTTGTTTGGTTATGATTGGAGACAAGTTTCAAAAAGACAGATATCAAAGTTTCTGCAAATAAAAAATAAACCTAGCTCGTCAGTAATAAACTCGCCCCATTATCTCTACTATAGGAACGTCATTATTTTAGATTATAGCTGTAATTCTTTGTCTTTCCGAGAAAATTCTATTTCTCTAAAGTTGGCACGCCACCGCTGGCACACAAGATCATCAACGGCCTCATCACACCGTAGTACACACAGTAGAAAACCGAAGACAAATTTAAATATCTAGTATAAGCTGGTGTCCCCTAAAAAAAACATACATACACACGAGTGAGAATAATATACGTAAATTACATGCAAACTTTACCAGAAGTAAACATTTTGTAAAGAAAAATGATTTTCGTACTAATGATGTTGGCTCGTATAGTCATGTTGCCCCAGGACAGATGTTTTTGTTATTTATAGCCATTGAAAATGATAGATCGATGATAATTCATTGCAGACATTAAGATTAAATATTAGAACAGGAATACAGATGTGAACATTAAAGGAGGTTCGCTATTAGATGCAAAAAAAATTTATTGATTAGATAGTAAATGAGAATGTGGTAAAAATGGGTTTTCTAATTCACTCCGTCAAGAAGATACGATTTAAAAAACAAAATTAGGATGAACTTCGTTAATAACCAAAAAATTCGGCGTTACCTAAGCTTCGTCAAAATTGAGATCGTTTATAAAAGCTACTTAAATTTTCTAAAGATGAGTATTCTACGCTCCATCTGACAACTGTTTTGCTGGAAAGACTTATAAAATTTTAACTTTGAAAGTATTTTTGAAGAATACTTCAAAAATTGACTGCGCTGAGGCAAAACTTATTAGACATGAGCGAATTTCACAAAAACTATTTAATTTAATACGCTTCAAATGGCATGCTTGGTAGGATCGATATATTTTTTAACATTATGTTAGATCAAACCGCGAACAAATCTTTTATCAAGGGATAATCAAGGTTTTAAGGTTTTATTATATAAAAACACTGAATGCAGCAAACGATGCTGTTTTTAAGAAATTCGCCAATTTTTAGGAAGTTTTTCCTCAGCGTAGAAGTGTCAAATCCTTACAATCCTTTCATTTCAGATCCTTTCGAAGTATAAATTTTATAGGTTTGTGCCGGCGAAACGGTTATCAGTTTGGCCTGAAAGGGTTCAGATGATGATTCATTCTTTCAAAAATTAAACGTACATTATAAAATGGAACTCAATTTGGATGCTTGGAACATAAAAAGTCCGTCTGCTTGTACAGCTTTATTTGAGATCGATTTCGGGGTATCCGCCTCCCATCGTCAGTATTGAGTTTCTCTTTTCTGATCCGGAAAAATAATTAAATTTTATTCGGAAAAAGCCGACTTGCTCACACACAGTTGAGAAACGAGAAAGTCAACACTGACAAGGGTGGCCTCCCAAATAAAGTACAATCTGACTTTAGTACCACACATGCATACTTATATTAAAAGAAATAATATAAAAGATTATAATAATATAAAAGAAATAAAAAAACCAGGCCTCAAAAAGAAGTACTAGAATTCAATTTTGATGAAAAAAGGAAAGTACGGATAAAATATGTGTCACAAGTTGGCTTTTTCCGAAAAACATTTAAAAAAATAGAACCTTCACGACAGAGTCCATTTCTATTGCATTTTATTCTAATTACTCTAAAGTAACACCCAATTATATGTTTTATTTTTGTTTTTAAATCCCATAACCACCCTATGTCATTAAACCATCATTGATCTTTAATCTTCAGGAGTAATAAATAACAAAAACATCTGATCTGAGGCAACGAGACAATGCGAGCCAACTATCATTAATTTCAATATTGAAAAATGGCAAAAAGGAGGGAAAATTCAAAAGGGGGGGTTGAGATGGGAAGTTAGTGTCCGAGTGGTAGAGCAGCGGCCTATCCAGCCGAAGATCGTGGGTTCGAATCCCGCTCGTGACACTGACTTTTTCATCTCAACTAAAAACCTTAATTAATTGAAATATATACGGACGCCAAGCAAAACGTATTCTGAAGGACATCGCTAACAATGAGAAGAAACTCTATCGTCTATCAATCAGAGAACTTTTTGTTGAAATGCAGACAACACAAGGCCCTGAAGATGATCTCAGTAAAGATCGAAACGTTGGCACGATAAAGAAAATGTTTTTCTAAATCCTACGTCCCACCAGACCGCATCTCACAATCTCCGAATACTCATTAATATCAATAACTTTTCTTTACAAAACTTTTGAAATCGGTAAAATTTGCCAACTTGTAATTTACCCATATATAGCTTTTACTGTGGCATTTAATTTTTCCAGAAAAGATCTAGATCTACCAGAATTTCCTAGAACCAACCATGTATAATTATAATGTTGAAGGTCGATATCATTAACTATATCGGTTTAACAGTTGGTAAATCGTTATAAATAAAGTGGGTTATGTTACATAATATTTTCTCTCGGATACGCATACAAAATATCAGGTTGACTTGAGAAAAATCAAGAGGTTATTAATTTATTAAATGTTCATTGAAAGTTCTGAAAAAGCGACGCATTTTTTAAAAATGCTTTGGCTCAAAGTTTAAAAGTAAACAGTAATTTATCTTCGCTATGTTTAATTTGGCATGGCATAAATTTGTTCTATTTCTTCATTCTTTAAAATATAAGACAAATCTAGTTGACACCCAATAAAAATCTTCAGGATTTTCGATTTTAAAGGAGGTATCGACTATTTGTGATATATATGTATATAAATATATATATATTTTTTTTATAAATCCGATGTTAAAGCGGGCATGCTCAATGGAGAAATAAAATCGATATTATACCAGTGGCAACATGAAACGAGATAACTATGATATAATCTGAACAAAAAAATTACACCGGTTCAAAAACTTTGTGTAACCTGGTATTCCCCCAACTCGATCTCTCTTCAAAACGGCGTACGCTAATTGACTAACTGGAAAACGAGAAAATGTAGACAAAAATATCGTTAAAGGGTTTGCAATTGTGAAAAGAACGTAATGAGAGGAAGTCGCACATCATAAAAAAATCCACATTCCAAGTGAAAACATTTTCATGTTCGTTGCTTTGGCCGTGTACTTTTATTTTAGGCAGTCAATTTTTAAAAGGATCCTGCTTTGGACCACGTGTATTATCTATTCGGTTCTAAAAGAAAAGTCAAAACATGCAAGATTTTTACCTATTGTTATGTGACATAAATCAAAATTTTATTAAATGTAAAATTTCCTCCATATTTTAGATAAAAACGAGAGGTAGAAGTATTGAAGTAAGAGTAAAATGACTAATTTTGTGATGTACAGCAAAAGCATGTTCTTGATGTTGATTTATTTGTTAGCATGAAAGAATCAATTCTCAAAGAACAGGTGGGTGGGCTTTATGCCAGTTCAGAAGGGAATTTCAAATAATTTTTATATTAGTTTATAAAGATTGTTTGATTTCTGACTTGTTGATACTGAATAGGGATCAACAGGCAGCACGTGTAGATAAATAAATAAAGCTTACCATTCTATGCTCAGGTATCCTTTGGCGCAGCAGTGGAGGCTTTTGAATTTTGAGTCGACTGCATATTCCCAGACGCTCTGCTCCTTGGTGAACTGGAGTGTCGGCGACTTTTTCGAACTGGGTAACTGGTTGTCCTCGCAGAAGTCCACTTTGGCGCTGGCCAGGGCGACCAAAAGGACGACGAGGCAGCAGACGGCCTGCTGGTTCATATCTCGGTTTGTCGGCTAAGTGCTAAGAACTGTCGCTGGGACGGTTGTCATATTTCGCCTCGGCCGTTTATTCACGAAAGTTCGCTTCGTCTTGCAGAGCGGAATAGAGGTATACACACAAAGCCGCTGTTGAAAGGCGACTGACGTTAGAACCGTTTTTAGTTGCGGCCCACGAGACCCAGCGCCTCCTAGCGGACCATCTTTCGTCCCCTCTCTACCGCTTTATCCAAGCTTTTTTCGTTTAATCAATTTTTTTCCTTCAAGTTTTAAAAATACATTTTTCCTTTATAAAATGTATCATAATAAATCAGCCTTTTATATTGGTGAGAAAATGATCAGTTATGGATGAAAAGTATTTGAGAAGCTTAATTCATCAATAACTTAAAACAAAATGATCATTCTAGATGGTAGAGCATTTACTCCTTACGGTACGTTGGAAAATGCGCTCTCGTACAATTTTCCAAATTAATTTGTCAACCATAAATCCTCCACTGATGAGAAATAAAAATGTATTATGTAACATACTTCCCCTCAAAAAAACTAAGTTCGAAAACAAAGCTTAAATCCTTGTAAATGATGGTTTTACACACAGATTTAATCCACTAAATGCTTTAACTAGCAAATCAATAAAAATGATGGTGGGGTGAGTATATAGATTAACTTTTTGTAAATGATGGTTCTACTCACAGATTTAATCCACTAAATATTTGACTAGCAAATTAATAGAAATGATGAAGGTGGGGTGAGTATATAGATTAAATTTTTGTAAATGATGGTTCTTCTCATAGATTTAATTCACTACATGTTTTCACTACCAAATGAATAAAAATGATGAAGGTGGAGTACATAGATTAACTTTTTGAAAATGATGGTTCTCCTCACAGATTTAATCCACTAAATGCTTTGACTAGCAAATTAATAGAAATGATGAAGGTGGGGTGAGTATATAGATTAACTTTTTGAAAATGAGGTTCTACTCACAGCTTTAATCCACTAAATATTTGCCTAGCAAATTAATAGAAATGATGAAGGTGGGGTGGGTATATAGATTCACTATTTGCAAATGATTTTCTACTCACAGATTTTAATTTTCATTATTTTTTGTAGTAATCAGTGGCCTTCGATTAATGATTATTTAGAGATCGTGAGATGACGTCTAGTGTGATGTAGATGTAGAAAAAACATTTTCTTTATCGTGCCAACGTTTCGATCGTTTTTGAGATCACCTTCAGGGCCTGGGATTTATAAACATTGTTTAAATTATGCAAATACATGTGAGATGCGAATATAGATCTTTTAGGTTTAATTAACACATATATTATATGTTATGTAAATTTACATATGGTATGTATACACATATATATGTGAAAACATTAATATCTCATTAACACTCTGAACACGGCATACAACCGTGACTCATCTTCACTGAAAACACACACTTTGAGTGAAGATGATTCCATTTTTGTAAATGATATTTACATATTGTAAATACATATTACATATTGTAACTGATTGTAAATGAACTTTGAATAAATTCACTAGTTTTCGTGGTCCGCTTGGCCAATTAATATGTACTTCTGTAAAATATTTTGAATAAACCTAAAATTTCTATATTGCATACATCATTGTATAAATTCATTTGCACATTTTAAATGCATTTGTATAATCCAAACAATGTCAATCCCAGGCCCTGAAGCCGATCTAAATAAAGATCGAAACGTTGGAAGGATAAAGACAATGTTTTTCTAAACTTACATCACACCAGATTGCATCTCACGATTTCTGAATAATCATTAATTAACGGTCACTAACTACTACACATTGTTTAAATTATACAAATACATGTAGGTTGTGAAATGAATTTATACAATTATGTACACAATACAGAAATTTTAGGTTTAATCAACAAATACATGTATAAACAAAAAAAATTAATATCTCGCTATCACTCTCAACACGACTCGAAACATTGATACATCGACACAAAAAACACACACTTCGAGTGGGTACAAAAGCTTTGATTAATCCGAAAGTATATTTACACATAGTACACGTATTTGTATAATTTAAACAGTGTTTATAAATCCCAGGCCCTGAAGATGATCTCAATAAATATCGAAACGTTGGCACGATAAAGAAAATGTTTTTCTAAACCTATATCAGACAAGACCGCACCTCACGATCTCTAAATAATCAATAATTATCGGTCACTAATTACTACAATAAAAAAATAATGATAATTAAAACCTGTGAGTAGAACAATCATTTGCAAAAAGTAAATCTATATACTCACTACAGCTACATCATTTATATTAATTTGCTAGTCAAAGCGATTTAGTGGATTAAATCTGTGTGTAAAACCATCATTTACAAAAATTTAAGCTTTGTTTTCAAACTTAATTGTTTTTAGGGAAATATGATACATAATACATTTTCATTCCTCATTAGTGGAGGTTTTATGTTGACAAATTAATTTAGATTAGATTTTAGACAGATTAATATTTCAAAAAAATATAAATCCGTGAGTAGAACTTTCAGATTGATCCCAATGATCTGCCCATCGTGTTAATCTGACAGTTACGTTGGAGTTATCTCTGTTCGTTGGTGCCTTTGATGAATTAAATAAGAAATTGAGTAAACGTAATCCCCCTGAAGATGTGAAATGCCGAAACGCATCTGGCAAACTAATACAACGAGGATAGGGAGTCAAGAATGAACAGTAACGACCAAATAACAGGTTCATCACCTCGCAGACTACAAAATAACCTTAAAAAAATAAGTAAAAAAATATGTACGTTACTTTTTAAAAAATTTTCTCGGCTCCTAAAGCAAGAACGCACGGACATGTGTCTAGTATTATTTTACCTAAGTATCACCAAAAAATGTTTCTTTAAAATCGGTGATCCTACGTCTGTAGCCACCTCTTGTAAAAGTAATGTTTCTTTTCTGCAGTGGGTTATATTTTGGATTGAGAGAAATAATTATAAACATCGAATAATGGCACGAATTGTGTCTGATAATCTTCGAATTGTAGCACTACGTTAAATGCATTACACTCTTTAATTATTCTGAATTATCGATTGATGTTGAGTCTAATACACGACGATTTGAAGGCTTTTGTTCATAAAATTAAGCCGCGCCTGGACCTAAACTATTCGGTTGAAAAGTGGTGTGACAATACAAAAATCTTTTCACCTGTCGCTTATTCATTATTTTCCTTTTTCCGAAAATAGTGAATTTGGTATCGGTTAAAATGATAATTCAATTACATTTCAAATCATTGAATTACGAACTAACTCAATTCCAACGGCGCACGGGGATTATACAATTATTTAATTTCAGTGGTTTCCCAACGTTTGCTAAATTCCTTTTACTTTAAAATACACAACCCACATTTTGAACTTCTCTCTCACCTCATCCTATTTTCCTTCAGACTGGAAGGAAGCCCTAATAATTGCATTAAACAAGAAACCTAAACCCACGCTTGCTAGCGACTATCGCCCTATTAGTATTCTTCCATCACTATCCAAAGCATTTGAGAAGATTTTATTCCAACAAATATCCTTATTTCTTGTCCTTGTATCCCCTTTTCAATCTGGCTTCCGAAAATTTCATAGCTGTGAGACTCCCCTTCTCAAAATATTAGAAGATATTCGCCTAAGCATTGATGATAATAAGTGTACTATTATTGTTCTACTTGGTCTTTCCAATGCGTTTGATTCCATAAATCATAATTTGCTTCTTTGGAAGCATCTTTTTGGTTTTTCTTCTAGTGCTACTAATCTCATTTCCTCCTACCTGTCTGACAGAACTCAAACAGTTGAAGCTTCAAATTCTATCACCTCTTCTCTCTCAATTTCAGATGGTGTACACCAAGGCTCTGTTCTTGGGCTTCTTTACTTTTTTCCATGTTTCTAAGTTATCTTCCATTAGTTCTTAATTTCTCCCAATTTCATCTTTACGCTGATGACGCTCAGCTTTACTGTCCTACAATTCAATGTCCTACAAGGAACATCTCTGAAGCTATCTCTCTGCTCAACCGTCATGTTCTCTCAACCAATGGTCAAAAAATAACGGCATTCTTTTTAACTCAGTCCTTATTAATTTCCAATAAGCCCATTAGTACAGATTGCTTATCCCCTCATCATATCAACGGCTCCCTATTAATTTTTGTCCTAAAGTTAAAAATCTCGGCGTTATTTTTAACTGCAAGCTTACATGGCATGACCATGTGAGCTCTATTATTAAAAAGATCTACACAAGCCTCCATTCTCTTCACAGACAACTAGAGTTCTCCTTATTAAATCCCTAATTTTATTCTCTTACTGTAGCGCTGGGTTTTTTCCCCACTTTCCTTAGATTCTCAATCTGCTCATCGTCTTCAAATTGCTTACCATTCCTGCATTAGATACTGTTATGATCTTAAACCAAGGGATCATATTTCGTCCTATATTAATGCCTTCTGCAACCTTAACATTCCAAACACTTACGAACTTATTAATATATATTTCAAATTAAATCGAATAAATATCCTCAACATCTATCAACTATTTTCCCTCATCCCTTATCCAAACGCACCAATCATATCCCAAGCCTTCAACACTCATCTGAACCTTTAGCCTTATCCTTCAGAATTGCAGGGTCAAGAAGCTGCTTTTGCTTCCACTGGGAAGTACGTTCTGCTTCCTCGATGGCTTGTTTAGGGTCCATGGCGTCTGAGATTTAAAAACGATATGAACCATCTCCTTTTCTTCCCTCTTACTTTTCTTTTTCCCGTTGCCTTTTTTTCTCTCTTTCTTTTCATAAAGAAATATATAGAAATAAATGTCTATTGAAAATGTGGCAGATCTAGTCCACTCTGCTAAGCTAAACTAATAAATTCACTACAGCTCAAGCCATAATTTTTAATATTGTAATTTATATTTGTATTTGTTAACCGTCTAAATAACCAAACTGCTGCTCAGGCCTGAGAACAACTGTTTTTATTTAATTATTTTTTTTTTACAGTAAGATTTAACTATATGCCTAAGTTGTTAATAAGGAAATAAACGACACTGCGCTCATCAATGTAAGGTAAAGGTGAGGGTTTGAACCCAGCGGCTCTGCCCTGTATTCGAATCCGACATTCTTACAAATAGTTTTGTTTTTTCAAGAAAAATCCGGCATCCCCGAGGGTTCGAAAAACCTCGTAGTTGAAATACCCTCGTTAAAAAAAACCTTTAAGTAAAAAGAACAAAAATATGAATTGAAGTGTTCATCGACCAACATCTATGAAGTGATTTCAATGATATTTGAATTACAATATTCAACAGATCATTACACATAAGACTTATTTCTTTACGATATATATAGTATATTTAAAGTATATGTGATTTTGAAAAAAATTATTTTTTATAATAAGTTTATCTATAATAGAAAATAAATAAAAAAATTATTAATTAATCTTTTTATGTAAGGTTTTGGTTGAAATGAAAAAGTTAATGCCACGAGCGGGATACGAATAACCTTACATAAAATAATTAATTAATTGAAAGAAGTAATTTGGTCAATAGACCACTAAATATAATGGATGAAATTTTTTTATGTTGAACAACATAATATGCATGTTGTTAACAACATAATGTGCATCTCTTGGCATATCTAACAATTGAACTTTGGCAATTTTAATGATTTATTGTAAAAAAAATTAATTCACATTTTTATAGCCATTAAACTTTTGTTTTTCAATTTAAGCATAAATGGATAATAATTTTAACCCAAGAAGGTATATTTTGTAATCCTAGGGGATTTTTGTTCTCCCTTGTCTGCCCTGTCCTATAACCTGGTTACCTTTTCAGCTTGGAATTGGATACAATGCTCCGATGGATGAGGGAAGCGGTTTAAAGTAATTTAGAATTATCTTAAAATGTTCATATCATGAGAGACACCAGGTCCGACGATTTTCACCATCTTCAATGAACTTGTCAATTCCAAAAAAAATCTCATGCAGACATACTTCATCAATAAAGTATTTTCTACCAATTTAATTTTATTCCAGGTAAGAAGAGGTTTGTGTGTTTTTCATATCAACATCAAGTTAGTTTTGATGTTTTCCTTATTCAAATTTAACATAAAGTGAAGACAGATATAAAATTCGATGCAAAGAGCATGACTACTTCTGGTAAATTAGCTGCTAGATGATTATTTTCTCAACGAAATATTTCCTTTAATATTGCAAACCTACCACAACAAGTCTTAGTTATTTCAGAGCCAGGGACTTTATATATCTTCTTATTATTTAACCAACCCTATTTTACTAGGAGGTACATTTATGAACATAGTTATATACCAAACTATAAAACTTGTGTTGGAAACAACCTACTGGATCTAACATAACATTTAGGACATTTTATGTACACAATAAAAAAATTATATTTGTTAATATTCTCTTCATTCAGCAATGCTTCAAAGTTGGTTAGGCCATGTTCTCTGCTGTAGCGAGTTCTGCTTGGGTCTGTACTTGATATGACCCAAGCGTTTGACAACATCTAGAACCCCATAGTTCTCTTGAAAATGATTCTGACCCATTTTTTATTTCATAATCCTACAGTCCTATCTTACAGTTCATTGCTTCAAAGTAAGGTGCTGCAAGAAGTTCTCTGACACAAGACCGTCCCAAGCTGGCGTCCCACAAGGGAGCATTCACGGTCCAACCCTGTACTACATATATACTGCTGACCTGCTGATACATTACAACTGCAATTAATTACCTCAATCCGCTTCCACTATCCAGGAGCTTGAACTAATCAAAGAATGGTGCATAATGTGGAAAATAAAACTGAAATGAACTGCCAAATGCACCAAAATTATGGTCACATTAAATAAGTAGACTTAATCCTTTTTTAAAAAAGAATTGTACTCCACACTCACCCCATCATTTATAATTTCTCTAAGTAGACTTATGCCTATAATTTTACAAGGAACTACTGATATATACACAAGTTTAACACTTATTCTATTATATTTAGACATTGGAGGACTGGTGGCCAGGTGGTTAAGGTGTCCTTGTATTTGCCATGCTAGTGGTTCTAGGTTCTAATCTTGGCACACCCCCTTGGCTTTTCAATTGATAATGATATAAAAAATGTATTACAAAATGGTATGACCCCTTGTCTGCAACACCAATGGAAAGTTGGATGTTAAGCCCTCTTTTATGACAGAAATTAATTTTCTTACTTTATTTAGACAGTGGACAGTTGTGGAATCTCCACACATTCCGAATCTCAGAGCGTCATCTAAGAACACTTCTAAGACTAAAATCATACTTTACTGTTAAGAACAAATTACGAATATTAACAAAGCATTGCACCAACCTGTATGGACTTACAGATCAGAATTGTAGGGTACAACCAAGCAACAAAATATACAAATAATCCCAGTCAAAAGTCCTCAGAAGACTTTTTCCAAGCGCCCTTTTCTTCCATTCCAAACTATCACTTTCAGTAAAGAACTGATCCATTACCTAAATAATCACTTCAATTTTTCATCATCCTAACCCTAATTGGGCTATACCTTCTATCCCAAAATCCCTTCATAACATCTCACATTCCTCTTTGTTCTTCAATCTATTAACATATTGAATGCATCTGCTGTCAGCTTCTTATAACACACATCCTCTGGATGCAGTGCTGGCCAGTGTTTGTGTGGTTACATAACATTACAGATTTTTTTTTTTACAGATGAACATATTTACAATAATAGAACGAATTAACTTTTTGCCTTATCTAAGTGTCTTTTTCTCCTAAAACTAGACACACGTTGTCTTACATACCATATTTACCTCAGTTTTATTTTAATTTTTAATCTTGCTTATTTATTTAGTAGCATTCACTGTCTGATTTTAAACCTAGGTCTTGTTTGTCCTACCCCAGGGTCATCGACAACAGGTTTCAGCATATATTGTTGAATCTTATCGCAATAAAGCCGACTGCCAAAAATTAGAATTTTCATATAAAAGACAATGATTTATCACAGCATGTATGCACAATTGTTTCTTTATAGTGACATTTCTTGGTACAGTAGATCAAATTTTGATTCTAACATTACACTATCATGAATTAGTCATTTCAGTTGTTGAAACTTAATAAAATGGGAGCAACTTGTCTCGATGCTAAGAAAAATGATTCCCCATGTGTATGTACATTTACATGATGATTAAGTGTCAGACCATATCAGCTAACTTAACATGTTTCATAATATTATGATATTCCCCAATCAAATTCTCAATCTGTTTCTGTTAAGGCTCAGCAATAAAAATGTTAGTAAGCAGATATATTTACTATAAATTGAATAGTAATGTCCTCCAATAAAACAGACAGAACAATTTTATATGTTCTGTTTACTTCAGTACCATAACCATGTGGGTGTTATATAGAATTGACTTAAACTGTCTGTCAAATATAGCAAATACTCCAATTTTTATTATTATTATTATTTTTTTAATCCATGTGTTATTGTTGAGTGAAGTTATGCAACTGAATACCTTTTTACCTGAATACAATTTTTTGTTCACCAATTTTCCCCTTAAATATGTACAATTTCATTTTTAATTTTCACCTTAAGATGAAAATTTGTGGTTTTTTAACCCTTTCAATTCACCAATATATTTAGGTGATGATTAACTTTCAGGTTGTGCCTGTCATGAGAACTACTCTAGATGAATTGGGGCTATAAATTAATTTGGTAAGTTCTTACTAAAGTTAATTATTTTAACCATAAATTTGGTTGTTTATAACTCAATATGACTTTTTGACTTCTCTTTAACAGTTTAACCCTTGTGGATTTATGAAAAAATGGACAACAGAACCATTTTGGTGAAAAATCTACCTCCGACATATTTAAAAAAGAAAGAGATCAGATCTCACTTTAGTAAATATGGAGTGATAACAAAAATAGAGACAAATTCCAGGGCAAGCACTTGCTGCGTTACATTTTCAAAAGCTTCTCAGGCCAAAGCAGCCAAAGCCGATGGAGGATCGTGGAATAACCGAAAAGTTGATATCGAGTTTAATGAAGAAGTTGACAAAGTTATCGAAGGGGAGCTTAATTGGTTTGCTGAGGAGACCCCGATGGATGAACCCAAGGATAAGATAAAGAAAATGTTAAAGTCTCTCAAAGCAGAGCCAAGAAAAACACAAGAAGTTGATTCGAGAAAGAATAAAACAGAGGAAGAGGAAGTAAAAATGGAAGTGAAAAGTGAAAAAGAACTTCTGTCTAAAGAGGCGATTTCAAATGTTGATAAATTGAATTTACTAGAAGAGAGGGACAAATTGATCAGATCAAAATTGGCTAAAAATGTCAAATCAGTGGAATCGATTAAAGGTACCTGTCCTGACATGTGCCCCGAGAAAGAGAGAATAATGAGAGAAGTCCGAGCCATGGTTGCACCTTATGAGACTCTTAACGAAGATGGACGTTTAGACCATAATTTAGCAGTTAAAGAATACAAGCGGAGTTCAGCAGATCAAGAAGAACCTCTGCCCCATGAATTGAGACCGGAAGCAGTCTTGACCATGACCATGGAGTACTTGATAATTAACATAATGGGAAAAATTGAAAATGAGGACGAAAATGTTGGCTACTGGTATGATTTTTGTTGGGGTAGGTTGAGAGCTATTCGTAAAGACATAATACAGCAGCAACTCTGTGACCTCAACACAGTAACAATAGTTGAACAAAGTGCAAGATTTCATATATTATGCTTTGATAGACTCTGGGGTTGCCCTAAGACTGTTTTTGATGTCAAAATCAATTCTGAAACTCTGATGAACTGTTTGCAAACTCTTATGCATATGTATGAAGATTTGAGAAAACAAAACATTTTATGTCCTAACGAGGCTGAATTCAGGGCATATTTAATACTTTTGAAACTGAACAGCGGCTTTTTACTTTCTGAGTACCAACAATTTTCTGAAGATCTTCAGTGTTCACCAGAAGTGAAAGATGCTGTAAATATCCATACAGCTTTCAGCAACAACATGTATTCCACGTACTTCAAACTGCTCAGGAACACATCTTATTTAAATAGTTGTTTAATGCAGCGGTTTTTTGCACATTTAAGGGCGAAAGCCTTAAATGTTATTGTGAGAGCTTATTGCCCTTCTAACAGTAAGCTATGCAGGATTCCTATAGAGTACATCGAAGACGCCCTGAAATTTGATGAGTTGGAAGATGCTATTTTATTTTGTGATTCTTTTGGCATCGGAGTTTCAAAAGACAATGTGACTTTTTTGATTTCAAGAATCAATTTCTTTTTCCCAGACAGCATGTACACAGTTGATACTCCATCGAGCCTGGTTATAAAAAAACGTATTTCTGTAGCAGAAGCTGTATGCGGTTATAAAAATTTACCTTTGTTTATTCCTCATGAAGTACACACAAGTTTTACAGAAAGAAATACGTTAAAACCTACTTCTTTAGACGCCTCCGATCAGGAGGAAAAAATGCTAAGAGATACAGTGGAACGCCTTTTGTTGAAGAAAAGGGCAAAAGAAACTGAAACTTTTGTCAAAGAGGATGAGGCAGAGGATTCTTTTGTTGACGACTTAATGAATGACGAAGAAGAATTCACAGAAAGAAAAATGGATGATGAAGATGAAACTGATCTTTACGATGTTGAACAGTATGCAGAGGAAAGTGACAAAGAAGACTTTGATGGGAACTCGAGTGTATATTCAGAAAATAGTTATAATAGTAATCCTTCTGCAGCAGATTCACCTTCTGATGTCAATCTATCCTCTCCTTTAGTAAAATTTCAGTTTAAATTGCCTGATCATATGGAAGAAAAGATTGTTTCACCACTTCACACACCACCACCAATTAAGTTCAACACTCCAGTTAATCTGGTTCATACGTTGCCAACATTTAAAAGACCTCCACCCTCGCCGACTATTGCTGCTATGAAGAAACCACAGACGACACCTTCAAGAAATATTTCACCAGCAACCACACCTACGTTTTCAGTCAGTTCCAACCCATTGAAGGCTGTTCAGAAAGTTCAAAAAACAAAAAGTGAATCAGAAGAAAATATGATAATGGCAAAACTTAGAAAGAAACTCAATGAAAAAATGAAGAAGACCACATGCAGAAAATATGCTAGAATTTGGAAGGCTAAAGTGGAAAAAATCAAAAGCCTTCGATTAAGTGAGAAGAGTGCACTTTTTCATATACCTCTCCAAGATTATTCTAAACTATGGGGCTCTTCTATGAGCCGTAAGCAGAAAATGACTTTAGAACGGTTAAACAAGAGAAAGAAAGCCAGCCTTTTGGTAACTGCTATTCTACACACAAATGTAGTCGACCAATTAGATGTCCAAGTTAAAAAAGTCGGCACCTTAATTACAAACATTTTGGGCTGTAGGGCAATCATGTTTGCTCATAAATTTGGAAATATTGCACAACCACTTCCGGTATTTTGGAAACTGGTGATTGCTATACCTGCAAGGTTACCAGAAGGGTCTACGTTCCCTTCAAAACTGAGGAATTGGTGCAAAGGTGCTTTTTATCAAGGAACTGACCTAGATCTAGGCGATGTTTACTTTAGTCATTATAATAATTTAGTGCCAGTCTTTACCAACATTAATGTTATTGAAGGTTTCAATGAGATTGAAAGTTCTTGTGGTAATATTTCTGCCCTTGTACTGGTAACAGGTAAAGGATGGGAAGAATCAAATGAAACAATTAAAAGACTGGATAAAATTCTTTCAAAAAACACTAGCAAAATTCCAGTGTCTGTTTTATCGATGGGAATGAAAGAATGTTTTGACATAGACACAAAGAATAGAAATATTTCGTATTTACACCAAGGGATTTGGGAATCGACTGACAACCTTTTAGAATCTTTGAAAGTTTTGGCTCAAAACATTCCCATATATAATCTCAAAGTGGAATCACTTGGAATTTTAGTTGAAGTGGGTACTGAGAAGTTTTTAGACGCACTTTATGAAGACAGGTTTATTGATGCTGATTTATACAATGCGTTAACAAAACCTAACAATATTATCCACTCTTACAATGTGTTTATTGATAAAATCGAAGAAGAAATCATCAACTGCTGTTTATTTAACATGTATGGCACTGCATATGAATTTAAGGAAAATATAAAGAAACGTTTATATGGATTTGATTTATTTCCACAACATTATAACGAACCAAATTTTAAAGGTGTTCTCTCCAATCATTGCCACCTGTTGAAACTTCCTTTTATGAAAGAGAAATATGAAAGCTCCCTTAATTTCTTAGCAGCATTCAGGGAGTACTGTCAAAAGCTCAAATGCCCCCAAATACTTTCGAAACTAATGAGGATGATAAACCCACCAGATGATGATGATGGAGTCGACCTGAACGCCTTCTTGGCAGACATATCATGGCTTCCAGTAATTGAACTTTTAATTAAAGAAAATTTGAGAAATGGTAATGTGTACAATTATAATGTTGTGTACCGTGGCGACAAAGTGAACGATTTAATTCAAAGCCACTGGTGGTTGGTTAAAGAAAATATGACCAATAAAAGCTTTTAACTAGATTATAAAAAGTTGAAAAGCAAATTATTGTTGAATATTTATTTTTAAATAAAATGTTTATAATATTTTTCACTGTTGTAAAAAAAATAAAAAATAAAAATACCTTAACAAATTTGTTATTATTTCCTAATTTTATTTAATTAGTAAGTAATAGAATAAAAAAAGGCACCCCGAGGGTTCAAAATAACCTCAACATTGAAATACCCTCGTTAAAAAGAAACTTGAAGTTAGAAGGAACAAAAATGTGAATGTGAATGTTCATCGACCAACATCTATAAAGTGATCTGAATGGTATTTGATTAACAATATTCAATAAGCCATTATGAATATAGAATCTCTTTCCTTAAGGTATTTACAGTACGTTTGTAGTATATGTATAGTATGTGGGAGGGGGGTAAAAATTTTGATTTTTTTAAGGCACAGAAGACCTAAAACGTGCCAATCGCAAGAAAACTCTACACATCGTTTTTTGGCCCAACGCAGTACTACAGCTCAAGCCATAATTTCTAATATTGAAATTTATATTTGTATTTGTTAACCGTGTAAATAACCAATATGCTGCTCAGGTCTGAGAACAACTGTTTTTTTTAATATTTTTTTTATTTTACAGTAATATTTAACTAAATGCCTAAGTTGTTAATAAGGAAATAAACGACATGGCGCTCATCAATGTAAGGTAAAGGTCGAGGGTTCGAATGCAGGGCAGAGCCAAAGAACAAAAATATGAATTGATATCGACCAACATCTATGAAGTGATTTCAATGGTATTTGATTTACAATATTCAACAGACCATTACGCATAAGACTTATTTCCTTACGACATATATAGTATATTTAAAGTATATGTGATTTTGAAAAAAATGATTTTTTATAATAAGTTTATCTATAATAGAAAATAAATAAAAAATTTATTAATTAATCTTTTTATGTAAGGTTTTGGTTGAAATGAAAAGTTTAAGCCATGAGCGGGATAGGAATAACCTTACATAAAATGATTAATTAATTGAAAGAAGTAATTTGGTCAATAGACCACTAAATAGGATGGATGAAAATTTTTTTGTGTTGAACAACATAATATGCATGTACATATATCTCTTGGCATATCTAACAATTGAATTTTGGCAATTTTAATGATTTATTGTAAAAAAAATTAATTCACATTTTTATAGCCATTAAACTTTTGCTTTTCAATTTAAGCATAAATGGATAATAATTTTAGCCCAAGAAGGTGTTTTGTAATCCTAGGGGATTTTTGTTCTCCCTTGTCTGCCCTGTCCTATAACCTGGTTACCTTTTCAGCTTGGAATTGGATACAATGCTCCAATGGAGGAGGCTAGCGGCTTAAAGTAATTGGAGTGAGCAGTACCACCGGATCCAGGTTGGTCATCGGGGGGAGGGGGGATAAAATTAAGATTTTTTAAGGCACAGAAGACCTAAAACGTGCCAATCGCAAGAAAACTCTACACATCGTTTTTCGGCCCAACGCAATACTTCCTCTTTCCTCAAAGGGAAAAACTGAAGAAAAAAAACTTGATTTAAAAGTTTCAATATTCTGATTTCAAAAAGGAACATATTTTTCATATACTTCCAAAATGTTTTTAGACATCGACATTAACGAATATAAAAAATTAATCACCAACTTAGAAGATATCACATCGCGAGATCGAATAAGAAGATTAGAGGCAGAAATCAGAAAAGCACCAGAAGGACATGTCTAATTGCGAAAAAATCATGGTCTGCAATGTAATTTTTTAGCACGAAATATAAACGAACAAAAAAACCCTCAGGGCGTATATTTCTTTCTTTTGCGGAATCAATCCAACGGTGCTAAAAATTAGCTATATTAAAAAAATTATAGAATAATTTGTACACCATGGGTATATATTATTTATTTTATACAAAACATAAGATTACAAACATATTGCAATAGGATAAAAAATAATTGTTTTTGTTTCTTATTAACAGCTAGCGTTCAATTAAATTATATTCCGGCCATTTTTTCATTGGCCTAGACCATTGAAAATAATGAAAATAAAATAACGGTTTACTAGTTAACTACTTGAGTTACTTCACTATTACTTTTTGGTAACAATGGGAGGTTTACGGACAAAGACGTGTGGAGGCCACGCCATATTTATTAAAATTGTGTCGTGTTCCGTGAGTACAAATACGTTGATTGTATCTAAAATTTTCTAGCATTGTATAAATTCATTTTTTAATCTAAAATTTTCTAGCATTGTATAAATTCTTTTTTTCACATATATTTGTAAAATTTAAACAATGTTTATAAATCCCAGGCTCTAAAGGTGATATCTAAAACCATCGTCACACCAGACCGTACCTCACGATCTCCAAATAATCATTTATTAAAAATATGCACAACTTTAAAGACTTTCTCTTTTTACCGTGATTTCTCGGTTAATTTAAAAGAAATATTGGCATATTTGTAACAAAAAATTAAGAAACGCCTACGGTTTCATTTTATTATAAAAAATAAATTAATTTGATGTTTTAAACAAAAGAAATTAGGTTTGAAAGTACCGTATTTGAGGAAAAATCCTGATTAAAAATAGGATTTTTTCAAATTATGATAACATTTAAAATACTGCTTGGATTTGAGTCAAACCGAGCTTAAAAGTTACACGAAGAATCCAGCTTAAAGTCGGTACCAAAAATGTGAAAATCCAATAATGGGGCGTAGCGAGAAGGGAGTGAAGTTAAAAAAACCGAGCTGGTTGTTGTACGGAAGAAAACGCAAAAATGTCAAATATTTTGATTGAATTTTTTACTTTCATCGCCTATTTACTCTGCGACCCCCAGTCGATTTGGCCGAAAAACAATCCCAACCGTCCTTATAGGATTCTTTACCATCCTGTCTTGATATCAATTATTTTTAGCTAAGATTTTAATTGTTTGTAATTCTTTATATTGTATGGTATGATGAAAATCGCATAACACCTGCTAATTATAAAAAAGAGTTAGATACAATTAAAACCTTATCTAAAAACAGTGGATGTCAAAAAATATTTATTGTCAGGTTGCTAGTAAAAAGAACAAAGAATTAACTTTAATAGAAGCAACAATTGGATTCAGCCACCCCATCAAAATGAATTATAGGTTTTTGTTGTAAAATTGACCGGCAATAAAAACCAGCTTCTCATTAGAACGTCACGTTGGTGGGTTCACTCTTACAATTCACGTCGAGAGAACTATAACTCCTTCAATCTGATGATGAGCTTTAATCTTGAAATCCGGAAATTGAAAACAACAAAACTGTGAGTAAGAACTATCTTTTTAAAGAAAACAACAGACGACTACTGTCGAGTTTGTACAAACTAGAAGGAAACAATAGAACATCCTATATAATTGCAGTCATTCTTGAGCAATGTACAACCTTGATACTATACCGCTTAGAAGAATTGTGTACGTTAAAGAAACTAAAATTTTCCAGGAAAACCATTATAAGAGATCAACAAACAAAATTTTAAGTGCTAAAGAAGAATTCCTAACGACTCCAAATGGAGGAAAAACCAAAAAGTATCATAAATTTGTGACAGTGTTAATTATTACAAGTCGGTGACATAATTATAAATTGATATATTGTACGTAATACAATTGGTTGCATTGGTAATTATAATACATAGGTAGCAGCATTATATAACTGGTGCATAGTAAAAACGTCATTTTGTAAGAGAAAATCAATAACAACAAAAATTTGCAGCGCTTTGCTTTTAAAAAAATGTTTGGGCAAGGGTACCTATATATTTTGAAAATGTAAAAATAACTAATTTTTAAATAATAATTATAAATAGTTAAATAGTAGTTAATGCACAAGGTTACTGTATAAAATGTGTTATAGCATCGATCATTTTGTCATAGGTAAATTTGATGTTACATAACTCATTGTTTATTCGTGATGCTACATTTAAAATTTTCATGACATATTTTTCATAGCCGACCAGATCTTCTGCGACATCATTAATTATAGCCGGGATCAATTTACTGTAGACCTTGCTTCCTAGCAGATTCTCAAAATCTACCTGAAAAAGTTTATCATTATGTTTTTATTTCAGTTTTCTCACGAATTTTCCTACCTCAAACTTGGGAATTTTCAGCAGAAAATTAGATTCTGTTATTTGAAGGATCTGATCAATTGTCTGCTTCAGGTCCATGGTTATGTTTAATGTCAGTGATGGAACTATTAAACTAAAAAGAAGCAAAAAAAAATGATGATTTACATACAGAAATAAAATTCTTTACACAATAAATTTCAGAACAATCATACATACCCAAAATCTCCTGCGCCAAATAAAGGTAGCATTGTTAAAATGTCAAAAGTGAAATTATAATAGCCAGTCAACTGAACTTCGCCAAAAGTCAGGATAAGTTCAAAATGCAGCGTATCATTATGGGTTGCCACAAGATGGCTGACATTCATTGATGCCGTACCCTGCACTATAAAATTTCCTCCACTTCCTCGAAATCTAGGCAAAGATGAATTTAAATAAATACTTATTCTCGTATGTTTTTGTTTTTTCAGCATACATTAAACCATATCCATCTTTGTCAAAATAATTTACATCATTGTAATGAAAGGTGTCATTGTCTATGGCAATCTCTTTCAGCTTTTTGAAAAGCTTTTCCATCAGGGTTTGTAGGTCCTCATCTCGCCATGGCACATGCACCAATTGGCCGTCGGAACATGTTACCTCTGTGATCTATATGGTAAAACCTTAGTCGTCATAAAGACTTTGTAAAAAGTTCATTTTATTTTCATAAAACAATACTTACTTACTTGTGAAATTTTCTGCAGACTTTTCATAAGTAAATTTTCAATTATTTCACAAAAGCAAAGTTCATGCAGTATAAAAAAATGAATGAACCAATGGAAAACCTGAAATTTTTTAAATATTATTCATATTTGACTATTAAACATGTTTTCTTATTCATATCTGGTAATTAATTCCATTGTTTTCGTCTAATATACAAATTTTATTTGGGATTATGAAACCAGCCTTCTACCAGACTTGGACAGGCAGATTGTACTTTTCAAAGAATACGTTTTTATTACATATAAAATATGTACTCAATTTCTCATAATGAAAACACGGTTTACTTAGCCAGATTTAAAATTTAAAATTTTTATGTCACGTTCAGTTAAATAATTTAAATATAGTGTACAGTTACATTTAATTAAACTTATGAACATTAAATAATCGTACATATTAAACAGTCCTGTAATTATGTAGAAAAACAATTTACCTTCATTTTATCAATAAAATAACTGCTGAATGATGACTAAAACTAAGAATCGTACAATTTGAAGGGATCTGGGAGTGATAAGATAGACTGATTTTGAGTACCACTTCATACCTAAAGTAGGTACTCCCTGTATATTCCAGATAGGAATATCTATCTCAATTAAAAAAAAGATAGTAAAAAGAGGTAAAAATAAAAAGTATTAAAAAATCTTTAAAAAAATATTTGTTTGGAGATGAAAGAATTGGGGTTGAAAAAGGGCTCAGCCCTCTATTTTCTAATTCCCAAAGTAATAAAATACTTCCAGAACCACTTCTTCAATTTTCTGTAGATCTTCAATTTATTGAATGATGGAAGTAACTTTGGCATTATTGGCAATTTTAATTATTTTATGATGAATTTATTTGTATAAAATCCCTCTATTTTGTTCTTGAAGTGATTCAAAACAGAACGTTCTAGCTACAATTATTCAGAAATCGTGAGATGCGGTCTGGTGTCACGATTCACGATTTCTGAATAATTATCGATTAACGGTCACTAATCACCACACAGTTCTAGCTACAGTCATTTCTGAGTAATGAACCTACAAATATCGATGCAAAAGGAGGAAAAAAAAGTCTGCCAAGTGGGTGGTAATATATATTTTATTTCACGCATTAATAATCCCTGAAAATTTCACAAGAATCCGACAAATGGTTTCAGAGATATTGCTGTGTACGTGATTTTACGTTTAAGCATATGTTAATCCGGTGGGTGAAAAATTCATAGGGGATCATAAAAAAGCAACCCGCGTACGTAATCCCTGAAAATTTCATAATAATTGGTCACATGGTTTCATAATTTTTCCGGTTAAAAGGAATTGACCATACAAATAAAAACAGACACGGAAGCAAATTTGTTCATTAGGGTCTGAAACGCAACATGCAAGTGGAAATTTGAATTTTGGAGGACAAAACTTTTTTCGATTTCCCGCACGAATACAAGCCTTCCCCTACCTTCGGTAGTTCGGAAGGAAAATGTTCTTATTGTTTTCGTCGTCAAAATAAAGTATTTAGATGGCAGATAGATACATTTGACGATTCCTTCCATGTTTTCAATTTTTTTCTTAATCTTTTGTATAGAAAAAGAGATCTGGGGGAAAGGATATTTACTACACTCGTATTTTATTGTTTATTTCAAACTAGATAGATAGATAGATATACTTTATTTACAAAATGAAAAAATTTAGAGTTAAAAATAAAAAACAGTATTATTATGGCATGGTATTAAAACCGTCAGCCAGAGTTCGGAGTGCATTACTATCCCAAGAATATGCATAATTATATAATTATAAGAAAAGGAGAATTTAAAATATCAACTTCAGAGGTTACAATTATTTACAGGATTTTCAAATTACAAGGTTGAATTGCGATAAACTTTGAAAATAATAAAAATGACACTTGAAAGAACAAAAGGATTCCAACTTACAAAGGGACCCCACAGCCAAACAGAATTCGCATTTAGAAGCCCACAAGCTAGAAATTATATGTATTAAGACAAACAGAACAAAATAAAAAACAAAAGACAAACAAAAAAGAAACGAAATAAGACGAACAGAATATTACTTCCCTACATTCCAATGTATTCATATCTGTAAAACCAGGCTTTCCGAGCAAAATCAACAAGATCCCGGCAATCGGAGCCGTTCAGTAGGGCTATGAGCTCTTCCCTCGTCAGAAAACCCTTACTCACATACAGATACCTCAATTCGTTCAGGACCGAGCATCTAGCGAGAAAATGAAATGCATCCTCACGATCACCTGAGTTGCATAGAGAGCACACTGCAGTGGCAGGAGTACTCCCAACGCAAGGCCTGAAATTCAGGAACAACAGCTCCCCTCGAATTTTAAACCACCAGCGGAAAAAAGAGAACGGAACATCATTTGCTGGAGCAGAAAAAACATTGCAAGGAGTTAGGGAATGATTCAACTCCTTGTAGAGCTGGAATCTATTTGAGTCCACGGCACGAGAAATACAACTCTCTCGATGACGAGCCCCCATAATATGAAGAAGATTGGAAAACATTTCAGACCACGCTGCAAAATTATCCAAAGAGAACCGAGCCACATTATACCTCTCCGCAAGAGAATTCCAGGATCTGAACCAGGATATGTTATCCTTAATAACTTCAAGTGATGAAATTTTTGCCAGGCGAGAATCAGGAGCTTGAAGCGATTTCAAAATAAACTTAAAATGTAACCTTAAAGAATAAACAAACAACAGTTCTATGCCAGTCTCAATATACAACATATAATTAGGAGTTGATGATGGCAGGGCAAACAACTTACGAACAAAAAAACGGTGAACTTTTTCTATCTCTTCATATTCGCGATAGCCCCAAACTTGACCTGCATTTTAAACTATATGTACGCATTTTTATCATTATATATTATTAATGACAGCATACTTATATCAATGTAAATTAATTTTTAACGAAAACAGAAATTCATGAATTAAGAAAAAATTCAATTATGATTCTTTTTCCACCTTGAGAAAACCACGAGAACAACCAACAACCACCACCAGTCAGCACAGAACTACGCCTTTACTCTGAAGATTCCCTTGAGGAAAATCCTCCCCGGGGTTTTCGGTGGGTTCGGTAGAGGATATCCCCAAGGAAATCCCGGAGGCTTTTTTTATGTTTTCTTATCTCGGGGTTCTTCCTAAAAAGCCCCAATAAAAAAAATATATATCGGAAGGAGAGAAGTTAATCTCTGCCAGTATATCAAACGAGCGTAAGAGAGTAACCAAATATCGATATATTTGATAGACCAATATCGCCCATCCCTATTTCTGACTTTGATTTTGGGTCACTGAAGGGCATTCTATCTGGATGACAGATACTTTAGAGTTTGTGTTGTATCCTCTTCCTTGTATTATACATAGTATACAATGCCGGATCCATTCGAATTTTGACAATAAAATTCTCATATATATTGTATATACTGATGACGTCACCATATTATCATCAAATCCCGAACGAAACCTGTAGTCTTATTTCTCCTAGCAGTGGTTCTACAATTAAGTCCCAAAGGATAAACTACCTTTCAACGTATTATTTCCTTTCAGTCAATTACAATTTTATTTCTGTTTCAATCGAAAAAGTCATCCCTTAGCTTGGGCTATATATAAAGCAAGCACGACTAATAAACGTGTTCTTGCCGGATCCAAATTATCCCCCTATATACAAAAGTCTCACATAGAATAGACCATATTAAAAGCTATATCATAACCATGGGGTTCAACCAAACCTTCCAACCTCAATCCAACCTACACCTTGCTATCATGTATAAATAGTAGGAATTGAAACAATCTTCCTAGATCGGGCTAAATTTGTAAAACGATTCATAGAATCATTGTGTTGAGCCAATAATCATTCCATTGTTACTTTGTAGTATAATTAACTAGGTGTTATAAAAAGTAACTTTTCGTTGCTTTCAGTTTTGAAAAATGGTACCAACAATCATTGAACATTCTGAATCTCCAGAGCATGTTTGCCTGCAATTTTCCAAGCTTTTACCCTTAATGATAATTTGTATGCAACAGTTAATTTTTTCTCTGTCTGGATTTAAAATCTATTGGGGAAGAAATTTTTCACTCGGCTGAGTTTTCAATAGGTTTCAGTAGCGTTCTATTGGTCGGCGCTTTTCTTCCTCACCATTGGCCCAAAAACGAAACGTAATTTACAATCTGAACTGTAAAGCGGTGTCAACCGTCGTTAAATCTCCCCAACATCAGAGGCGTAAATAACAAATTAGCCCCCCTTCCGACATTTTACAGCCACTAATAAAACCGCACAACTGTCCAATAAAAGGGAGAAAATTTATTAGCCGAATGTATGGGGGGATTTAGTTTAAGGTCTTCCACCATCTTAACTTTTCCACGGGGATGCTTTCGACAAAGGCGCTAATCCTGAATCCTGATAGGTGGCAAACGAATACAATAAAATTCGGGTTAAACAAATTTTGAAAAGGAGATTGAAAACGCGAACGACTGGTGGCCATGCCAGCTGTTTGCTTATGTACATTTTGATCGACGTTAAAACAAAAAAATGTAGTTGTCGTCCATGAAATCGTTAAAAGGCTAAAACAATTAAGCCCAAATATCAAGAAAGTCATAATATAATCATTGGTCTTTGATGTTCTTTAAGAGCCATCGGATAACCAAAGGGTATCCATTCATTAATCCTAAATTTTCAATAAGTCAACTTCAAATTATATTAATCTACAAAGACACCAGTTTCAATATGTATCATTAACAATAAGTTTTAACAGTTTAATTTAACAGGTAAAAACGGTTTTGAATAACAATGTAATATTTTGATAATCATATCGAATCCTTGTAGATTTCAATGGGATGCCATGTGCCAAATGAGTAAAGGTTACAGTCAGGTGGCCTGACTTTAAGAATATACGCAGGCTGAGCAGCCTATATTTTATCAATTTTGCCCAGATAAATTCGAACTACATGCGTTCCACCATTTATTGCCAGGCGATAAAAGATCTATTAAATATTTTGCATTTCAAAAATTACTGTGCTGTTTATTTCAGTGTCAATAACCCGACCTAAGACCTGCTCGTAATGTGCGATACGTTCATAATTTCAAAACGTCTTTGATTTGCGTTAATCATTTCGGAAACGTTTCCACCAATTAAGTACTAGATGATATTGAAAATCCACTATCCAATTTTTTTTTTGAAATTTTGACTGATAATTTATTATGTTTTATCTGGAATGAGTCATCAACAAATACGCAAGCGATAAACATTAACTCCTGGAAATTTCGAAGCATGAATTGCATTTTTGGGATGCTCTTTGTAATGGGGTTTCATTGAGGTTTTTATACTCTCTGCTTAGCGTGAGACAACTGGACAATAGACATAATTTTAAATGTTTCCAGGATAAGTGATTTAAGGAGGAGTTACACCGAAGGATGAATAATGAGAGGGGTGGACCAGTTCACTAGAGGGTACAAGTTTTTGGTCTAATTTGATATATTGATATATATTGTCTTTCTGCAAATAGTTTTAAAATTGTGTTTTCAAACAAATTATTTGTTGATGACATAGGAAGAGCGAGAATGTTATTAAGTTGATTAATTTACAGAAAAATCTATGTACTCAAGAAATCCCTTAACTTTGACAGCATGGGAAGAAATGAAAAGATGTCTAATCAATTTTAAAGTAAGTGAATTAGGAAAAGCAAGGTGTTTATAATTTGTTTTATTATATCATTATGTACACTACAACTGGTCGTCTTTATGCAAACATTTGTAAAGTTATTTTTTAATCAATTCTTAGACGACAAAACATGATGAGCGGAATGATCAGAAATGGACATTTTGGATTTATTTCGTAGGTATAACATCAGCAACTTGCACATTATTCACTGCAATTGTTAAATTTCTCTCAAAAAACAATTGCAATGTGAGTGAAATAGTAAAAAGTATCATGGTCATAATTTATTTTGTTATATCATTATTTTCAATATGTATTTCATCAACTTTGAGAACAAAAAGAAAAAGGCTGGTCAATTGTTTGGCCAGTTAAATAGCAAAGAGTAAAAGTTCAAATTCGACGAAATATCATTCGTTCTAAATTATTATATTTAACTTAAAAACACTTTTTACATGAAAAATGATTGTCTGATTAACTCCGTGCAAATCTTTGCAAAGTTGTGTACATCAATCAATTCTTAGATGCCTTCGGATGAATTTCAGTAAAACTGATAAATACATGTTCATCAATTTACAGACCACCCATCGCATTATAACTAATATGTATATACATTTTTAGATAAAAATTGTTTATTTCTCTGTTTAACAGTTGTAAATTAGTAATTGAATTAATTCTTAGATGGTGACTGTTTAATAGCGAAAATGAGCGGACCAGAGGAAAAATTTTCATTTTTTTAAAAACTGTTTTATGTTAAGGTGCAAATTAAATGCTTTGAGAACATCCATCACAATTTAACAACTCCCATAATTCTTTAAACAGATTATACAGGGTGTCCCATTTCCTTCTGACGAAACTCAGGGAATCGATTCTACTCTTCGTTTGGAGTAAAAAAAGGCCAGGAGAAAATTTTCGGAAAGTTTTCTATTTTGAAGATATTCGTCAATTTAGGTTTTTCAACTTTTCCCTATCTTACCACACAAAAACGCTTACTACTTCCAAAATGTTGAGACTACAACAAATCCAATTACACCATTTGAACGAACGCTAAATTTGCTGTAAGCTACTTCTATTTGCAATAATCTGAATGACATAAAATGTTAGCCAATATCAGTTGGAATATGTCAAAATTACAAAATTTAAAATAAATAAATAATAAATTTCATTTTACAAAGCGAGCTCTAATTGATTTATTTCTCCCCCCTTCAAATTTACCTTAGATCACGTTTTCGAACATTCAATTGTTATTTTTCAACTCTACTAGAACGTTATTTAAAAATCTGGATATATCAACGTAAAGCATATTAAATGAAGAAGTTTTTGTGAAATTTGACAAGTTGTAGGTATTTTTTTGTAACCTCAGTAGAACGTGCAATCATGACCAAAATTTTAAATTTTGTAATTTTGACATATTGTTCCACCTGATATTGGCTAACATTTTATGTCATTCAGATTGTTGCAAATGGAAGTATCTTACAGAAAATTTAGCGTTCTTTCAAATGTTTTAATTGGATTTGTTGTAGTCTCAACATTTTGGAAGTTGAAAGCGTTTTTATGTGGTATAAGATAGGGAAAAGTTGAAAAAACATAAATTGACGAATATCTTCAAAATAGAAAACTTTCCGAAAATTTTCTCCTGGGCATTTTTTGCTCCAAACAAAGAGTAGAATGGATTCCCAGAGTTTCGTCAGAAGGAACTGGGACACCCCGTATAAAAGGACAAAATCAATGTATTATGCTTATATTGCTTACATACAAAACATACCGGAAAATGAATCGATTATGTAGGTCCTTTATTTACACTTGTTCCCTGTTTGTTATTATTAATTCTGTCTGTTAATGTTCATTCTTCATCTCATTGTCTTTTATTGCAGCTTAGTAATAAATATAAAACATCATTATTTTATGTTATATCGTAAATTTTTTGTGGATCATGTTTGATGTTTTGAAAAATGCGTATGGCAATTGAACAACATCGAGGTCTAATTTGAGATGGCTTCGGAAGACATGGCCTGCTCTGATCCTTTCATCCTCAAGAGAGGGTGTGGTCTGGAGGGGTCGCTATGGAAACGGGCTTCTTCCATAGTCGTCCTGCGTCGGAGGACATTGTCCTTTCCTCCTTTCGGCCATTTCCATCAAAACGTGGAGACAAATATTGTAGACTTATGATATTTTTAGTTAACTACATTTAATTGATATGCTTGGTAAATCCACGTGTTTTTCCAAAAACGGGTTTCGGAGGATTGCCAGTGAAAACTTGTCTTAATCTGGGCACTCTCAACACGACACGCAAGGATGGCACAATTACACAGAAGACAAACACTTTGAGCCCTGAAGATGATCTCAATAAAAGATCGAAACGTTGGCACGATAAAGAAAATGTTTTTCTGAAACCTACATCACACCCGACCGCATCTCACGATATCTGAATAACTTGTCAATCGTTTTTTATAATTTTTTTTAATGTTTTCTTGTGAAAACCATGAATTTTGTTCTATGTGTAGTATTTTTAATTTCACAGTTGGCCAAACTAACAGGTTCAAACTTCACAGCGAGGATATGGATACCAAAATAATGAAAAACGACCAAACTACAGGTTCATCACCGCGCGGGCCTAGCAGGAAATCTACAATTTAAGGACTATTTTAATTTTCTATTATGCAATGAATGCAATGAACATGAATTCTTTCCAATATTGATATTATTATGTAATTATTATTATAAAAATTTCATGAAAGAACTTAATAAAAAATTAGAATTATTACATTACTAAAAAGCTATAAAAATGAAAATTATTATATCAGTTACTAATCTGAATATCTTCCATTGATTTTACAAACTGATCGCTTTATTAATTTGTTACATTAGCCATGTGTATAATATTTAATGAAAAGATTGTACTTTTTTTGACATATAAATTAAAAGATCTAAAAATATATCTATTAAAAAAATCGTACTCAGTTTTCATTTTTACTTCGATATTAAGAGCCAGTTTAATATGTGGGTCTGAAATATGTTGAGTTGCACCAAATACAAAATTTAAAAGACTTAAGGTTTTTTAAAATACACGTTTAAGAATAGCCACTAGATGGCTGGCTCATTCAGCCAAGTCTAAATAGAAGAATTTATTAAAAGAACATTTCCGCCTAAAACTTTAAAGAGTGAGGAACCAGAGACTGCAACCCGGTCTTCTACAACAAATGAATATAAATATTACTCATATTTGATTCATATTTATGTAAGTCATAACACGGAGATTCGGAGTCAAAAATGATCGGAAACAACCAAACTGCAGGTTCATCACCCACAGAAAAAACGCCGAGGATGCCGAAACCAAAATGATATGAAACTACAGATTTATCATTTCGCAGATTCAAGAGGAAATCTCTCAATTTAAGGATTATTTATTGCCTTATATTTTGTATATTTGTCTTTTCCACAAATGTAAATATTACTTAAATTGCCTTCTTACCGTGTATAACATTTCGATTATGTTGGGTGGTTTATATAAAGTAATTTCAAAAAATGGAAAAACCTAATTTATTTCTGTTCACTAATGAGATTTTGTATAATCTTCCAACAATCAATCGTTACCATTTGGGTGAAACAATACTAACCATGCTTATACAGATTTGAAAGTTTTTTTTATTTTGTCAGATAATTTATAAAAATAAAAGCACTCAAGCTGATTTACTGCTTTTTAGTTTTTTCCTTAATTTTATTTACGGATTAATAAACTTTGAGTTTTTGCGAATGATTTATTAATCATATCAGAGGAAGCTACAATTTAATATTTTACAAATAATATCTTTGATAAAACGTACAGAGTATAAGGTTTAGGGGTGTGTACTGTCAGAATGAAAAGAAAATTCACTACAATTGTATTGTTGTACCAACAACTTGTGAATAATAAATATTTATTATCTGTGGCACTATTTTTACAAAAAATTTAGTTTATTGTTATGAAAGCGAAAGGAAAAATAAAAATAGAGAGAAAGGTTACTATTAATTTATTGGCGTTTAAATGCGAAAAGAAAACTTTGATCTTTAACTTTTTCACTTACCAAATACTGATTAAATTAAATTGGAATTTTGACATTTTAATAATTAGCCAAATTATTGTAAAGTATGACAGGAATTAATTAATTTCTGCTTTAGTGATGATTAACTAAAGGTTATTTTAGTTCAAAGATAATTATCTATTCTCTTTGTATATAATTTTTAAACTGTTTAGAGAAAAAAAATATAAATTGTTTTTTCGTTGGAGTATTTCAAAATTCATTCACGTCGTTAATGCCATATGTTAATAATTATACTTTCCTCTCTTTCTAAACCATATATCAGTTAGTTCCAAAGAAAGCTCAACAGAAAAAATAGAGGGCGGCTACTGTAAATCAAAGACCTGAGGCTAATTAAACATGGTTTGTAGGGACGAAAAATATAAATCATGTGGATTTCGGTCGACTTAACAACCCTTGGCATTATTACACTAATGTTCAGGTAATATTAATTTAAAACACGTGGAGAAACATATAAACAATTTTTTGAAAAGTAAAAATGAAATATTAGTATAATTTGATTTATTGTGAATCTGCATTGACTTGTAACCAAGTTGCCGGTGGTATGTCCTTTGCACATTGTACATATCAGTAATTCCTTATTTTCTCTGTCTGCGTGCTTATCTGTCTATCAGTCTCTCTCTCTCTCTCTCTCTCTCTCTCTCTCTCTCTCTCTCTCTCTCTTTCAGAAATCGTGAATTGATCATTTGTATAAGAAGGGTGAGGCAAGATTCTGACTTTTTTCATTTCTGGACACTTTTAGTTGAATTCCAATTAAAGCATTATTTTGTCTTTAAAAGTTATAAAATCAGGGATTCGATAGTCTTGAAAATAGTAATATAATTAACAATAACTCAAAGGTCGGAAACGGTATGGGAATGGGCATAAAGTTAGTGGTCTAATTATGAGCACACATGAACTTTGGGCTCACCCACGCCCAATTTTCAAGTCGATTTGCTAGCTATAAAAACATGCGCACATGAATTAAGTAACAAATATCTCAATGGTGGATCACTATGAACACTATCAGACAAATCTAACAGCTCTCCAAGATTATGAGATCAACTCACAACTAGCCTGAACTACCGAAAAAAATGATCTACAAGTAGCCTAACGATGAGATGGGCAGGGCCATGAAGGAATTTCAAACTACGAAGCAAACTAGCTAATAAAGAAACCTTGGAACAACACAAATCCATTTTGTGGCATAGATTGTAGAAGTATGAATCTATGCCAGAAATGTATATAGTAAGATACCACTTTAAAAATATGGGACTATTAACAGATAATCAATGTAGACTATTTCTAGAAGAGAGTAGCTAGGAAAAGGTTTCTTAACGAGGAAAGCCATTTTTGAGCAATGTAGACCTAGAAGAAATATGTACGTCAATCAAGAAGCGAAAAATTACAGAAAAACCATTTGCCCAATCGACGTTTAAGTGTAAAAGGGGGAAATCTCTACGACTGAAAAAATCTTTTTTCTTCCGGAAACTCTTTTGTTAAAGCATTATACATTATTATATTGTTAATTGTCAGTTATGATGATTTTACTGCCAAAAACATTAACCTCTCATCATTTTAATCTGTGCTTAGTTCTTTGAGCTAACCACGATTTTTTGTTAATTTATGTTATGACTTATAATGACAACTAATCAAATAATAAATATTAGCGAATCTAGGCAACCATATATAATTAAATTACATTAACAAAATATTTATGCACCTCTTGTAACTTACTTGTAAAAAAATTAAATAAATGTATGGACGGAATTTACACGAGACAACAAATCTTTAAGATGTTAATACAGATGAAAGATTAAAAAATCTTCATTGTTATAATAGCCATCATAGACAACATAGACAATTTATTTTGCATGCTCTGAACACAGGGGTACTTTACTGGGTATTTATATTATACAGTATTTTGATTCTTCTTTCAAGTAATTTTAAACTCTACTTTTTACCTAACTACATATACAGACTTACATATCCCTTTCGTTCAAGATGAAATCCGTTCTCGTTACCGTAAATTTCATAAAAACCTCCCAACTACGGTAAATCAGCACACCAAAAACTTCGCATCCCTACTAACCCCCTCAAACCCTCCCCGCCGCGCCGATGAAAAGACAATGGCCGCGAGATCTCCTAGGAAGTGATAGGGATGATAGTGAAAGTGATAATGACACAAGTCTCAATTAAACAGACAATATTTATTAGTAACATCGGAGTAATACCAATGGGTGTTTTTTCCACTCTTGGTTTTAATTTTGTATATATTACCTTGATCAATGTAACTTGTTACCTACTTGAAGGTAGTTCTAATGTACTTCAAATTATATAAAAAAAACTTTTTACCAATTTAGTTTCATATAGATACTTAATACTATCTATTTGGCCCCTCCTTTTCTTGCTGTATATCTGTGGTGGTCATGTTTTCCAATGTTTCACCATCTTGAGAGGTTGGCAAATTATTCCTTGTCACTTCCTCGTGAATATGTTTATATAATGAATATAATTTTAGCATATATGTATATAATTTTTAAAAAATAAAGTTAACGTCTAATATTTCATAGAAAATTGCTAGATCGATTGCTAGTAACAAGTTAGCAAAACGTAACGAACGGCTTTTACAAATATTATCTAGCTGAAAAATAGTTAGGTTACTAGTTTTTCATTCAATTCTTTTAAATTGTTCAAGAATTTACTTCTGTTTAAAATTTATCACATAATACTATAATTTAGTATTTTTAATTTGTATTTATTATTTTCTGTTAATTGATTTTGCTTTAATAACAAAATGTTGGTCACATGAATGGTTTAGTTGATGAGTGAAAGTATGTACTTTTTTTTTGAGATTCAACGAGGCTTGGGTTTATTTTATTAGAGGATGTGGGATTGATACGTAAACAGAATAAAACACTTAGAACGTAGAATAAACACGTAGAATAAAGAATGGAGTAATACACTACAAATATATATGGACGTATAATGTTCTTATAGCTTGAAGTTATTAATTAGTGATTAATTGGAGATCGTGAGATGCGGTCTGGTGTGTCGTAGGTTTTACTAAAACATTTTCTTTGTCGTGCCAAAGTTTCGATCTTTATTGAGATCATCTTCAGGACTCAAAGTGTTTGTTTTCTGTGTAGATGTGTCATTATTGGGTGTCGGGTTGAGGGTGCAATAATGACACATCTACACAGAAAACAAACACTTTGAGTCCTGAAGATGACCTCAATAAAGATCGAAACGTTATGGAAAATGTTTTTCTAAAACCTACGTCACACCAGACCGCATCTCACGATCTCTAAATAATCATTAACTAACGGTCACTAAACACCACACACACATACACATTATTAATTAATTACGCTATAAGAACATTATACGTCCAAATAATAATAATTTTTCAATTAATCAAGATTTTTAGTTGAGATAAAAAAGTCAGTGTAATGAGCGGGTTTCGAACCCATGACCTTCGGCTTCAAAAATTCAAAAGGTGGGGTTGAGGTGGGAAGTTAGGGTCCGAGTGGATCGAAGTCACGATAGCTCAAGTGGTAGAGCAAC